GCACAAACCCTGACTTCAGTTTGGGAGATGAGGTTTGAGGTGACGAGAAAAAGCATGATATTTTAACCAGATGCTGATTGTGTTGTCTCGTTCCTTCACGTTTTGCATCTTTGGTGATGAGAACCCCGACTTATGTGATAAAACATACTGTAGGTACGATCCTTCATATCTTGAGTCTGGCGTGAATAAAAGTTGCCCTGACAGCAAAAGAACACCTATGAGTTCTCTTCTCCACCGCCTTTGATGTACCACATATGCAGCTGGTCTCAAGCCACACATATAAAACACAATTAAGCAGAACAGCAGCGTCCATCGCAGGTGCTATAGTCAAGATGGCAGGGCAACGTGATAGCTTTCACAAAGCAGTGCCTGCTCCTTTGTATTTTTAATGGATTATTTAAGTTTATTATATATAAGTTTATTAGATTGCATCAATTTGTTGAAAGGCATAATTATACATCACATTAATGAATGTATATTTATGAGTACAATATCCTTTTTTTCTATTAAATGAACTCAAAAAATACCTCAAAAAACTTTAAGGCATCTGACCAGAATTTTAGCCTTGAGCTGTATTTTGGCTGTTATTCCTTTAACATAATCTCATTCTCCTCAACCCTCACTGTCTACTCATATATCCCCCAACTTACTCTGATTCAAAACCAAAAACCAATCATTAAACTTTATGAGAAAACAAGCCGTATTTGCTTTCACTCCATATTTTTTCATGGTCATCTGTCCCTCACCTTTGGTGACTCTGAGCACATGCCAAATGTAGGACTCCAATAAGCAGGCAGAAGGTAACAAAAGCAAGCCTTTTATTTATACTTATGTATTTAACAAAGAAATCCAAAAGCACAGAAAATTGCACACATAAAACTTAAACGAATCCATAAACTTTAAGGGAAAGAACAAAGAGAGCACAAGGGAAGATAAACAAAGACTGAGGCGAAGGACACGACTACTTCCACACAAGAGGGGAAAAGTGGAAACAGGAGGGTAACAAGACACAACTGAACCAAATCTATACAATGAGACAGAAGGTTCCTAGTAAAACTAAATGTAAGACCAAACAGACGAAAAAATACCAAATGAGTAACAATAATTGCAACAAAGAAAACACAGAGACACGAGTGAAGGTAACAGATGGGAGAAGACGCAGAATGAGACAGAGGAAGCACTGAGGGGACCATAAAAACAAACTAGAACTAGAATCAAAACCTAAATAATAAACAGAAATAAAAACATACAAAAAAAATTATATTTCCAAAAACTCAAAATGCTGGAACCACCCAGAGAACCCACTCCACAGTTTGAGAACCACTGTTCTAATATTTGTATATTCTTAATATTTACTATGATTGTTTACATTTCTGTTTTTTGTTTGTTTGTTTTTGTATTTTGAAGAGGAAATATGTGGTATTTGCATGAGGAGTGAGACTGGTCTGTTTACAGTTGTTTACTGCCTGTGACTGCACCTTGTTCATTTACATTTTAGGGAGTTAAACAATAAACAAAGTAAACAAACAAACAAACAAAAACCACATAACCTTGTATTGTCCACTCTTTTTTTTCCTGATATTGCAAATGAAGTGTAAATGCTAAAACCAGACTCACCTGGAAGGGGATGACCAAGTTCACCTTCTCGCCCACCTGTGTGATGAATTTGGTTCTCAGACGGCGAGGCAGGCGTATCTTTGGATTTTCTGGTTGGTGGACACAGAGAAGCAAAAGTTAACTTTGTGAAAGAGTGGGTGGTGTGGGGGCGTATAGATATGTAAAATGTAAAACATGTCGAGCTTTTAGGTTTTGTGTGTGTTCCTTTGCGTGGTTACAGTAGAAATTAATGACTTATTGGTTAAAAATCTCTGATATTTGCAGTAAATTTATAATAGCTACATTATTTTTTCCCCTCGAATTGATCCTAAATGGCTGCTGAACATGATGTCTATCCCTGAATACACTAAATATTTCTAGTGCTGTTAAACAAATGTGTTCATTAAATGCTGTGTTTGATTAAAGCTTGTTTCTGACCCACGATCTCTCGGATAGTGACGGCTTGGGAGAGAACGGCAGGACGACTGTGGCCGGCAATGTTGACTGCGATCACTCTGAACAGCATTTTCTCCCCCACTGGGAGTCCCTTCACCCTGTAATGGATATTTTCCACCGGTTCCTCATTAGCCCGCACCCACTGGTCACCTAAAAGCAATAGTAGGAATAGTGAAGAAACAGATCAGAAAAACAGGATTAGTGTGTAACTTTGAGACTAATGCTGAGAAATTAATCACGTATAAATATTGCTTACCAGTGAACAGGCAGATATACAAATAACACTAAAACACACACACAGGCACATTGGCACATCTTATACCTACTAATCTTAAAAGCTCACATACAGTTTGTAAATAGCTGAATGATGATTGCTATTACAGTAGGCAGAAAGTTGGACAGTTTTCTATAGCGCACATTAATCCAGCCTCAGGTGGCCTTTTTTTCAGGGGGTCACAAGCTAGTGTTTTTCTACAGCCTGGATAAATGAGAAGGTTGCATTAGGAAGGGCATCTGGTGCAAAATCTGTGCCAAATCAAACATGTGGATGTGTGTGCTGTGGCAAAGCTTTGGGAAATAAGGGAGCATCCAAAAGTACCTCTCACATTACGCCAGACACATGATTTCTTTTGCCTTTGCTCATGTTTTTTTGTTTGTTTGTTTTAAGAAGGATTTGTCATATTACTTTAACCATGACCATTACAGTTCCTATAATAAAACAACTTTTAGGCAGAGAGGTTTAGCAAATGATCAATCGTTCTCTTTGTATGAATAATTTTTGGGTTGCCAGGATTTGAAGAATCTCATTTGCATGACTGATTTCTAATGTGTCTAAATTCCAGTGTTCAGTGTTACTGTAATCACATTACATTTTTCAGTAATGCAGTACAAACTGAAGAAGCTTCTCAGATGAGAGGTGAAACGTCTTCAAGCAACTTAAAGAAGTCCCAATGCTTTTCTTTCCAAGCTCCTTAGACTTCTTCCTACACTTGTGCTGCGTTCAGCTGATTTTTTTCCCGTGCATGACAAGAGAAAAATGCTGGAGCGGTTTAGAGCTTTTGAGGAGCAGTGATGTGGATATTATTATTTTTTCCATCGGACAAAAGAAACTCCAGGACATAAACAACTATATTATACTCCAAAACTTTGGCTCTTTGCAAGCATCTACTCAAACAGCATGCTAACATAAAGCTAGCCAAGAGTGACGATAAAGCTCAGCAGACAGCTAGCAAAAGCAGCAAGGAGTCAGGCTTGTAGCCTCCATTTCTCTCTGTTTGTGTTTCTACAGCAGAATCCCAGTGCCATGTAGTACATTATGTACACTATGAGTTGACTTGTAAAGGAAATGAATGTCAATGGGGTAATGTTGTGTTAAATCCAACATGTTAAACTTTCCAGTTTCAGGAAATAACATTTCTAATGTTTGACTGTGATCATCCCACTATCTTCTGCCTGTCATGCCTCTGGCTATACATAATTCATGTATATACACAAAACACAACAGATGCAAATATCACTGTTAGCATTTAGATTGTAATGATTATCTAACCTGCTTAAAATTGTTTAGAGGCCCCTTCCTTTCTGTTGCATAGACCACCGAGCGTGACAAGTGTTTCACACGTGTAGAGCATGTCATGCAGCCTTGATTGAGAGCCGGAAAACAGTCATAAATGGTAAATGGCCTGTATTTGTATAGCGCTTTTACTAGTCCCTAAGGACCCCAAAGCACTTTACACAACCAGTCATCCACCCAGTCACACACTGGTGATGGCAGCTACATTGTAGCCACAGCCACCCTGGGGCGCACTGACAGAGGCGAGGCTGCCGGACACTGGCGCCACCGGGCCCTCTGACCACCACCAGTAGGCAACGGGTGAAGTATCTTGCCCAAGGACACAACGACCGAGACTGTCCAAGCCGGGGCTCGAACCGGCAACCTTCCGATTACATACACTATTCATACACTCAGAATAGCAGGTGTAAGTATGAATTCCTCTTGCTAGCTAACTCAAAGGTGCATAAATATATATTAACCCACAATTACCTTTAATATCACCAATTTGTAAAGTTCTGACATTTATCTAATGTCGTTAGTTATAGCTTACAAATCCAAAATAAAGCCTTAGTATAAGGTAATATCCATTTTGGTTATTCTTACTTCCTTCTTTGCAGTATTCAATGATGTAGCCATCGATGCCACCTGCTCCGATTCTCTCTGGAGGACGCCACTTGAGTGCACAGGTAGAGTCTGTCACATCATCTACTGTGAGACGAGTGGGCTCACTGGTGGGGGCTGAGAGAGACAAGAGCTAATTAATACGTTAATACGGGGTATAATGGGATGGGAAGGTAGGTTAAGCTGCTTCAAAATGAGCATTGTGTGAAAAGCCTCTGTTAATTAACCATTCTGCTAATGACAAATGGCAACGCACCAATGGGCATGAAGGGCTTTGAGCTTGCACTGGGCTGAGAGATGCCAATGCCATTGACTGCAAACACTCTCATCTCGTAGAGTACACCTTCAATCATCTTCTTAGCCTCGTATGTGGTGGACTCGTAAACATCAAAGTTGAGCTTCGTCCATCTGGGCGAGCCTATCTTCTTCCTCTCCATCAGGTACCCTCGAGGAAGCAGGATCAACATACGGTGAAGTCGTTAAAAACATCCACGTCAGTTAGAAAAAAATAATGCAATGTAATAAACAAAATGGAATTTAAACTCCTCTTTTCTCCTGGGAGGAAGACATCAGATGTGAACATTAGACGCTGCGTGTTTCAGGGGTACCTTTAACGGCAACTCCACCGTCAAAGGCGGGAGGGTCCCATGTGATGATGGCAGAGTCCTCGCCAACTGATGCGCACTTGACGTTCTCGGGAGAGTTCGGCACATCTGGAGAGGCAGGTTACAGTTGGAAATTGAAAGCATGGAGAGATGAAACACAGAGAGAAATGGGAGTGTTTGAGGTTTTTAAAGTAGTACAGTACATAAGACAACATGCAGATGTGATTTGGGGAATCGACACCAAATGCACTGGTAAAGCCATCATATGTTTCACTGATCACAAATGAAAGACGTTACATTTTTTATTACCTCTATATAGACATTGCCACTTTGTAGAATAAATTACATCAATGGTGATTACAAATCATGTTAGAGCAAGGTATTCAGTGTGTTTTATGACTCTTAAAAACTATTAATTGACTATTAACTATTGACTATTGAGTTTTTCCTTTCCAGTCACCTTTCTCACTCACTATGTATTAACAGACCTCTCTGCATTGAATCATATCTGTTATTAACCTCTGTCTCTCTTCCACAGCATGTCTTTATCCTGTCTTCCTTCTCTCACCCCAACCAATTGAATTGAATTGAATTAATCAAATGTTTCTATGTCCCTTATTTAAGTAATTTCATCCACTGCTTACCCTAAAATCCATCTTGGACTAGAGACTAGATAATTATTATTTATTATATAAATTATGTCTTGGTCATTCTTAACTCTATTAAGAGACAGACAAATTCCTTAAAGTATGTATTTTAATGAAAAACAATATCTGAGGTGAAAGTCTAAAAACATACGGTTTTTTTAATATGTTAATTGTTCTGGGTAGAAGCTGCAAAGACACTGGACCTCAAATTCAGATGATGTGAGTTTTTAAAAGATGGCACCACTGGTGAAAATTATGGATTTTCTTTTTTCTTTTTTTTTACCATGACCCAGTCTCAAACTCTGAGGAACTATTGCCCTCAGTCAGACAGAAGTAATCGAAAGGGATCAAGGAAAGAAAAAGGCAGAAGTAAGAAACAGCCACTGACCCACAACTCTAACAAAGAGATCCGCCTTGTCCTCGCCGACAGGGTTAGTCACCGTGATGGAGTATTGGCCCTCGTCCACTTTCTCCGCCCCCTCTATTACAAAGCTGCACACGTTCGGCTCTGACTCCACGTGGACCCGTCCCTCAGCCTCGGACAACACCTACCACACAGAGTGAGAGACAGAACAAAAGGAGATTGCTGAAGAGGACGGTGTCGCATGACGACAGCCACCACAAAGACAGGTGATTCAACCGTCCCACTCTAGTGTTGTTTCATTCTTCTTTTGTGCTGTTTAATGACTAACGGCGAGGTACTCCGATTGACGCAGAACATATAAAATATCTGACGCGTTTATGATGCGAGGTGAAGGATGAGAGGCATTTCTTTCTCACTTGGTCTCCTTTCATCCAGCACACAGTGGGGGCCGGCTCTCCTGTGATCTGAACGTCCAGGCGAAGTTTGTTTCCAGCCACCACCGTAATGTTGTTGTTGCCGCCGGAGCTACCGGTGTCCAGGAAGATCTTGGGAGGGTCTTTCATTGTGACCAGATGAAGACAGGAAGAAAGAGACCATTTAGGTTAGAACAATGATGTTGGTTCTTTTTTTGTTTTTTATATTTGAGATTCAAGGTGTCTCAAAGGTGGCACAAAGACTAAATTTACTGTTTTTTCATTCTATATATGGTCTTTTTGGGGGGATTTGGGGGTTTTACATTTGGAGCAGCATCATACTATACTGCCTAAAGCCAAACAAGCAAGTTGGGGCTTTTGTCTACTCGATGGCTTTCCAGAGCTGTGAGCATTTTCAACTTTCACATTCTTCGATTCATTATATATTTTTAAATTGTTTCATAGAAGACCCTTTTGTGTTGCATTTTATGAAAAGATCCCACAATTTTGAGAACATAACAGAGAGTAAAGAGCAACTTAACAGCAGCTAAAAGCAGTTTGCTGTGATTTAACTTCACACCTTTCTGCAGGGATGTATAAATGAACTCCAGGGTACCTCTATAAACTCTAGGGTGTTGTTGAAGGTGGAACAAAGTGCACTACAGACATACCTAAGCATCAGTCTGAGTGTGGTTAAATAACAAAGGAAGTGCAATTTCACCAGTATTGTTCAGTTTTATGATTAAGAAATGCTGCTGAAGTAAATCTGCCAAAAAGACATCTGTCACTATATCTAAAATTACAGAAAATGCTCCCCCTCATGGACCCATTATAAACAAATATAAGTTGCTATAGTAAAATGCTCCTGTGTTTTAATTGTTTTTGTTTACCTATTACTTTATTATTTTGGCACAGTATGAGTAACAATAGCAGAGTTCCCTTATCAGTAGGAAAAACTGTAAATACAGTTAAGTTCAGTGACAGGTTTTCAGTCCCTCCATCCTCTTATGGCTCAGGGAGGGACATTATAAGTGCAGCAACCAGAGCTAAGCTCCAAACAAAACCTGCACATATGGATGCTCGCCAGTATCTTCAGCCTTTGTTGCATTTTTCATTTGTTCATTGACTGACAAAATCAAGAATTTCCTATAAGGTTCAGACTCATTCGTCATCATATATGACCTTTGTTCTCCAAAACAAGAAGAGAAAGTTGCTTCTTTCTCTTCTTGTTTTGAAATTAGAGCAAAGTGAACACAGCATAGACTCACTGTCCTGTTTTTAGGTACAAATGTGGCCTTGTGCAATGGGACACCACTATTTTGGTATCATGTGAGCTTGCTTGGTATCTCTGGAAACAACATGCAGACACACTGTCATGATTGTTTATCAATATTTTTCAGCTAATTCATTTTTCTGATGGTTTGTTTAGCAATCTTACATATTGCACCTTTAAGGATATTTAATGCAAGTATTCCCATAATTATGTATGAAGTAACTTTATTTTAGGCCAGTTACTGTAGCTCTCATATAATCACAACCTCTGTAGCTAACTGTTGATGAGTTTGTATAACACGAAAAACACAACATGCACACAAACATTACATTTTTTTGATGACTATATGAAGACTAGAGACAGCCCAGATAACTGTCACCCAGTCTATTTGTATTACCAAAGCATATAATAATGTCTGCACTAAAAAAAACTGAAATGAAATCCTTGATGTGCTTCTGGGATAGAGGAAAAGCTGACATAGACAGAATCTCTCCCACGAACCATAACGTACAGTTAGGCATCAATCAATAAAAGTGTTACACTAACAATAAATGATCAACTATTTGATTTTTTAAAAGGGCACAAGGACATTTAACCATTTCTCTGTTCAGAGGGTCACACAGTGGCATGGGAGGGAGAGCCTTCAGTTTTCAGGCCCCTCTTCTGTGGAACCAGCTTCCAGTTTGGATTCGGGAGACAGACACTATCTC